GTGGAAGTAGTGAGGCTGAGGAACGATTTCTCCAGGCTGAGTTCAGAGCTTTAAAGGAGGAACCAAAGTAGAGGTTTTTCTACTCACTGCCGATGTTCTGCTCAATCTAACCCCATGTGTTTGATTTTAAGAGTTGGTTCTTTCTTGAATTCCATCAGAAAACAGTTTGGGTCAACAGTGGGAACAGATCTGGCCAATGATTTCTGATTTCATTACGCTGCAGGATTGATGTTGATGTTTTTGGTCCCTGCAGCAAACCCAGATTCCAGATTACGCCGAACTGATCGTGAAGTTCCTGGAAGCGTTGATTGACAGCTACCTGCCCACAGCGGATGAGGAGAGGGGAGAGGAGCAGCTGCGGACGCCCACCTCCCCGTATCCTCCCAGCAGCCAGAGCCAGCTGAGCATCACTGCCAACCTGAACCTGTCCAACTCCATGACCTCACTGGCCACATCGCAGCATTCTCCAGGTCAGACCCCTCGGTCCCAGAACCTGAACTTCTTAGGATCTATTAGGCATGTTTTCATTGTCTAAAATCTCAAAGGAATTAGTTTTTAAAGATTTTTTCCTCTGCTGCCCTCAGATCTTAATAAGAAAAAGTGCTGAGACTTTTTTGTCACCTTTTTAAATGGCAGTCTGTCTTAGAAGGCAGTGTCCCTTCAAGACTGACAATGATTGTTTTCTAGTTTCGACTACTTCAGATCGCAGAGGAAATGTAAAATAAAAGCAGATATGGGGAATGATATGTTTAGACTCTGGAAGAGATTTGATTCTCCAGAAACGGGTGAAATACAGTTTGTCTGGGTGCCGTTTCCAAATGATGACTTCATAAGAAAGGCTCCAAGCAGATATGGTACCTACACCGGTTAATTCTATTAACTTTATTTATATAGCATCAAGTCACAACACAAGTCATCTCAAGGCACTTTACAGTTAGACTAGATCAGGGGTCGGCAACCCAAACTGCTCAAAGAGCCATATTGGACCAAAAAATAAAAAATCTGTCTGGAGCCGCAAAAATGTAAAAGCCTCGTATAGCAACACGGGTTCTAAGTGTATTATCACACTATAGAAAAGGACTATATGGGCTTAAATATATAATAAGCATTCATAATTAAATGTTTATCCTGAAGCAAATGTCACATAGTAGCCTGAGGTGACGGAGGAAGAGTGCACCGCTTCACCACCTTCACTGCGCGGTTTAAGTTTTCTAGCAATGATGAAATTATAGAAACACAATAAAGGAATCTTTCTATGGTGGACGTGTTTCTGTTGGGAGGAGTTTATTGAGTCATCAGGAACCAAACAGGAAGTGACATCAGAGCTGTGCTCTCTAACCCCGAAATCCCACTTCCTCTGTCACCATCGTTCCTTGGTCTGATTAATGTTTTTAGGATTTGGGGAAAAAATGGAAGAAAGTTCAGAAACCTGCATCAAAGCGCTGCCTGTTTGATCTGTGGATGGTTTTCCATCCTTGCAACAAAACTAGCAGCAGTGGTGGAGTTTGGAAATGCAATCCAC